AAACTCATTTCATTGGCAGTGTGTACCTGCATGGCCAAGAGCTGAACTAAGAGGGAGGGGAGGGTGTTTACCCCCCTCCCCACGTACTTCCATACTCACATACCCTCTATCCAGGCTTGTCTACGCTCTTAGTTCCACTTGCTCTTTGTCAATCAGTCAGTTAACAAACATTCATTAAGTACCAATAATGTGCCAAGCACTGGAGATATAAACAAAAAAAAAATTCTTTGCACTAAGACAACTTACAGTCTAATGAGAAAGACAACACACTCACACACACACACACACACACACACACCCCAAAAATAAAATAGTTACAAGGTAACCCTAGGGGGAAACTCTCAGGAACCTACCCTGAAATTTCCTGTACTTTCTCATTTCTCTTTTCTATTTTTTTTCACAATTATACCCTTCTAAATTATCTCTGAATAGTCTAACTTGGTTTTCTCTCTCCTTTCTCTGGCCTCTTACACATATTTGTACCACACACTTTAGTACTCAATGATACCTATCTTTTATTCCTTTCTAATTTACATATGTGCTCAAGTGTGTGTGTTGGGCATCAGGCTGGTCTTCTTAACAAGAGCATAATTCCTCCTGAGAGGAAGGAATATAATTACAGTATCTGTGTACACCCTTTAGTGCCTGGGCAGCTGGGTGTTGCAATGGATGGAGCACTGGGCCTGGAGTCAGGAAGACCTGAGTTCAAATATGACCTTAGACAGTTACCAGTTGTGCAACCCTGGGTAAGTCACTTAACCCTGTTTGCCTCAGTTTCCTCATCTGTAAAATGAGCTGGAGAAGGAGATGGCAAACCACTCCATTATCTCTGACAAGAAAACCCCAAATGGGGTCACAAATATTCGGACACGACTAAAAAGCAACTGAACAACAACTATAACGCCTAGCATAGAGCTGAGTGTCTAATAGGTACTCAACAAAAAACTTGTATGGCCAAAGTACGTTCTGTTCTTGAATAATCAAGAATTGTTTCAAAACTATGTAGGTAAATCACATTGGAAAGGATAATGCTATCCAAAACTAGGAAGTAAGCTTTCTAAGACCAACCTGATCTATGTCCTAAATATAATTCAGCAACCATGTACTAAGTGCTTAGTGCCATATGCACCAGGCGCTGGACTAGGTGCTGGGCTTACTCAAATAAATTCGTGATCTCTGAGAACGCGCACACCCATTGATGTTCCTTCCAAGCGTGCAGATCATAACCTGGCTGTGCCCGCCCACCCTGTGCAGCCCCTTCTCATGTTTTCCCAAAAGTTGGCCATCCAATATATTAGAGGCCTCCCTTACTTTCTTCTGTCGCTGCACTCAGTGTGTCCACAGCCATCCCTTAATCCCGACACATGGCCAGCCCATCCTTTTTCTACCACACTTTTTCCTGATGACAATTTTTACTCCATTCTTCATTTATTCTGTGTTGTCTGTTCATATCCACCATCTACCTTTCCATGTGCGTACCCATTATTCGATATTTATTTTCATCTCTTCAGAGGCCATACAAAAACAGTCGAATATTAGTATTTTATTTAAAAAGGAGTATCATAACTTTTGTAAAAGGTACTCTTTATCTACTTGGTCTTTTTCATATGGATGGTCAGGCTAAACTCTTGATCAACTATGGATCTCTTCCAGAAGGGTCTGCAATGTTACAGGGCAATAGTATAATGTTACAAGAGTAGATATTCTCTAGCATCTTAGAGGACCTCACTGTTTACAGGTAATCCCTCTTCACCTTGGACTCTGCACTGCATTTGATCAATTAAGTGGTGAACACCTTGGCAAACAAATGTCTCCTTGTTTTATGCCTTCCCTGGTTTTAATGATCAAAGTTTTTATAGTCATTGATAAAGGTTTTTTAATTTTTGTTGTTGCTATTGTTTTGTTTTGTTTTTTGTTTCATTTTTTTTTCCTGCAAGGTAAGTGGGGCTAAGTGACTTGCCCAGGGTCACACAGCTAGTAAGTGTGAAGTGTCTGTCCGAGTCCAGATTTGAACTCAGGTCCTCCTGACTCCAGGGCTGGTGCTCTATGCATTGCGCCACCCGGCTGCCCAGTGATCCAGGCAACGGACGTTGTTATATCTTTCTAGTATAAGGTGTACAATCAAGTACATCTGTCAAGTCAGCACACTCTCCTTAAAGCAAGTGATGAGATGCCCAAATAACTTGACGAAGGAGAAGTCTTGTTCAATCGATTAAATCTTAACTGTAGGTTTTAATTTAAATCAATCTTAGGCTTTAAACTAATTATTTAAAGTCCCTGGAATAAAGATGATATTGCACCAGGAGATTGTTCAGATAATCTTAACTACCAAGCTGTTCTAGAGATGAAAACAAATAAATTGTCCCAGTTAAAACCCAGTTAAAAAAAGAATTGCTTGGATGAAAGGGAAAGAAGGGGATAAAGCATATATTTATTTAGCGCTTAGTACATGCCTAGCAAAGACCATTGCATTTGCTCCTGTGTGGGACGGCGAAGACCCTTACCCAAATTGACTACTCAGGAGTCCTCCGAGTAGGGTGCAGAAAATTTATTAGAATCTCATGAGCAGCGGGCAGTCCCACTGCGAGCCGAAAGAACGACAGAAATGCTCATAGCAGGAGGGCCGCTCCCCTGAGCGCCTGTGCAGTTTTTATACATTTTAGACAAAGAACCCCGAAAATTCCACCTTCCTTACATTGTGATTGGCTAAATAAACTTTTCTTTCCTTATTCGGACAATGGAATGCGGTGACTGAGGTAATGGTATAGTTCCTCCGCCACATATATTCCAATTCCTTTTTAGGACAATGGTATGCAGCCCAGTCCTTATCTAACATCACATGACTGAGGCCTCCAGGCTTCAGCTAATCGAGCTAACAGTTACCTATTAGTACATACCCGGACTGTGAGTTCTTCACCCATCTCATACAATCCTCACAACAACCCTAGAGGTAGGTGCTGTTATTATCCCACTCTGCATTTGAAAAAACTGAGTCAAACAGAGGTTAGATGATTTGCCCAGGGTCACATAGCTAGTGAATGTCTGAGACTGGATTTGAACTCAGGTCTTTCCTGAGTCCAGGCCCAGAGTTCTGTACACTATACCTCCCAAATGCCTCTAAGGAGGCAAGGAAAAGCCTGGGCTTTGGCCTAAGTCTAGGTCTTGGCTGAAGAAAGACCTTAAAAGTTGTGAAGGATCAGGAGAATTTTGGACTTCCTGTCAGTGTCCTGACAGCATCCCCAGATCATCTGACAGTGGTGTCTGCCTTGGGAACCAAAGATTTACTTTGTAGATTCATGGCTTCATCAGAAGAATACCAAAGAAGCTTTCCCTTACCTCAGGGTAATTTCCTGAGTATCCCACAGAGGGAAGAAAAGGACTTCCAGCAGCTAGGAACTGTGTATTAGCCACATGTGCTCATGTGTCTACTTTCCCCTGATGGGAGAGGTTGTCCCAGACTTTTTCAGGATGTTTTATACCAACTGTTCTTACTCCATCACTTATAAATACCTCCTTTCTAAAGGCTATTTACATAGCCTGGCTATGGTTATCTAAAGCCTGGCTAACTACAAAGATTCTCAACTGATAACCATAAGGAAAAGTACATCAGAAAAAAGTCTCAGGCTCCTAGCATTGGAGGGAGAAGGCCCTCTTTAATCCTGAGGGTTACTCACAGATCTTTGAGTAGAACTGGGCCCTACTCTATGGGCCCTACTCATCAGGGCAAGTGGGAATTAAGATAAAGCCTCAGAGGATGTATTAAACAAGAACTTTGAATAATTTTGATTTATTAAATACTTTGTTGGAAGAGAGCCTTTAAGATAGCTCAATCAAATCAGATGTGGTTTGTTTTTCATAATCAACAAACAATAGTCCAGTGGGAATTTATACTCTTTACCTCCTTTAATTAGTTATGAAATGGTAAGTATGTATTCCATTGTAAAATATCACTTATCTGCATGTTCCCTACTAATATCCTGATTGTGGGTTCCCTTCTGAGAAAATATCCATATCCAGTTTGTTGCCAAGGCCTGCCTATTTTACCTTTGTAGCATCTCTCCTATTTTCTCTGGTTTCTCCTTACATTTCCCCTATGTCTGAATTCTTTCTTTCCTCATGTTTGCCTCCTGGTTTTCCTGTCTTCTTTTATAATCCTTCTTAATGCTACTGCTTTCCAATTTATCCTGTGTCCATTTTGTTTGTGCATAATTGTTTCCACGTTGTCTCCCCCCCATAGACTGTAAGCTGCTTGAGGGCAAGGGCTGTCTTTGGCCCTTTTTTTTTTTGTATCCCCAGAGTTTAGCACAATGTCTTGCAAGTATTAGGCACTTAGTAAGTGTTGATTGACTGACAAGTAGGCATACAGGTTGGTAGTTGACGCTTTCTCATTCACCTTTTTTCTTTATTAATCTCAGCTGAGATCCCGCCCCCCCATTGGTATCTTAATTTATTTATTTTTAGTTTTCAACATTCACTTCCACAAGATTTTGAGTTCCAAATTTTCTCCCCTTCTCTCCCCTCCCCCACCCCAAGACACTGTGCATTCTGAATACCCCTTCCCCTAATCTGCTCTCCCTTCTATCTACCACACTTCTCTTGTCCCCTTCCCCTTCTATTTTCCTATAGGGCAGGATAGATTTCTATACCCCATGTCCTGTGTATCTTATTTCTCAGTTGTATGTGAAAGCTATTTTTTTTGAGCATTTGTTTTTAAAACCTTGGGTTCCAAATTCTCTCCCTTCCTCCCTCCCCACCCACCCTCATTGAGAAGGCAAGCAACTCGATACAGGCTATACATGTGTAGTCATGCAAAACACTTTCATAGTAGTCATGTTATGAAAAACTAACTACATTTCCCTTCATCCTATCCTGCCGGCTTCCCCCCCCCCAATTTATTCTGTTCTCTCTTTTGACCCTGTTCCTCCTCAGAAGTGTTTGCTTCTGATTAGCCCCTCCCCCAATCTGCCCTCCCTTCTATCGTTCCCCCTCTCTTATTCTCTTCCCCCTATTTTCCTGTAGGGTAAGATAGCTTTCCATACCCAATTGAGTCACACCATTGGTATCTTCAGCCTCTTTAGTTTCCTTGCGAATTGTTCCCTTAACACCCACACAATTGGGTCATTCCCCAGCACAGACCTATTTTATGCACACTTGAGCCAATCTTGCTGCTTTTCTCCTCTTTTTGTTCTTAGTGCCTTTTTCTGCCTCCTTTATAAGAATATCCAAAAGTTCAAAGTTAGGAGCCCAGGTTCCATGGCTTCACAGTCCTTGATGGTGAAAACAGTTTGTTGTAAAAATCTTTGCAGTCATCTACAATACCACATGCCAGGCACCAGGCTAAAATGCTGGGAACACACAATCAAAAAAATTAAACAGTTCCTGTCCTCAGGGGGTTTACATTCTACTAGGAAGATACAAGATGTAGTCAGAAAAGTAAATACATACTATGTATAAGTTTTACTTATCCAAAATGCCTTCTAATCTATATTCCCACTTTAATTTCACAATAGTCCTTTGAGGGTAGAAATTATTCCAAATGAGAAAAATGAGAAATTATGATTTTTCCAAAGAGAAACAGCTTAATAGTGGAACTGAGACTAAAACTCAGATTTTTCCTTGTCCTTCATCAATATTCTTTCCACAGATCATGTTGTTTGCTGTTCAATGCTGGTGGACATTGTTGGACATTAGACTTCACATCCCATGTGATGTTATACTATATGTAAATATGTCATTCACATACAAAGATGACCTACTATAAAAATATTAGTATTAACAAACTATATTATAATTTATTATAATTATATGACATTATGTATTATATTTTTATATTATGCTTATATTATAATTTATGAAATAAATTATTGTGAATAATATTAATATTAATAAATAATATTTTTAAAAAGTTTAGTGTCAACATTTCCAATAATAGTGGCAGGTTACGTTATGGATACCCATTCTATCTGGTACAAATGTCCGTTATGTTTATGAGGTGGCTATATGTATGGTCACAAAACAGAAAAGTTGATCTTGAAGATTATATTGCTCGGAGTGATTAGTACCTTTCAGAGAGAAAAATAATTGAGTTTTCTTTGTTAAGGTTGTTCAGCTGAGCTAGTGTCTGGCAGTTTCACATTAATTATCTATTGTTGGGACATGTTTATTTTTGATAGAGAGGTTGGTTTTTTGTTTTGTTTTGTTTTTTTGTTTTTGTTTCCTTCAAGAGTCTCATATTTCTAGAATAGAAGTGAGAAAGATGACAGGAATTGTTTTCAGATAACACAGATGTCAGGCTTAGAAGATAATTTCTGTTTTCCTGACTGGTTATGATTTTAAGTTCATAAAATCAGAATTGTAAATAATTGAGACTGTTGAAAACTAAGTTGAGGGGATGGAAGCTGAGAAAATAGTCCATCTTGGGGGATGGAGTGGAGTGGAAGGAGTACCATAGCTCAGAATTCCAGTTCCAATTCCAGAGGACAGTCCCACCATGAACACAATTACCAGGAAAAGACAAGTTTCATGCCGCCAGGGATGACAGTCCTTGAGGAGGAATCATGGAAGCAAGCCTTCCCAATATAGGAAGTATGAACCTATGAATTATAATACCATGGGACAAAGTCCGCTTTACCTCATGCCAGTTACAGCTCTGAGTAAATAATCAAGTTCTCCTACTCAGCCTAACTCTAGTCATATGTTGTTCCCCAGCTGAATATAACATCAATAGTCACTGAGGCCAGAAAAAAAGAGCACTGGCTTGTGATCAGATAGTTTAGCTTCTAATCCCGGATGAACTGTGTAATCTTAAACAAGTCATTTCATTTCTTCAGGCCTTATTATCTCATCTGTAAATAAGGAGTCTGGACTAATTGATCTTTAAGGTAACTTTCAACTCTAAGATTCTATGAGTCTATTTATGACATATTTTGTTGCAATGTATCTCTTTTGATCTTGGAATCAGAAAGACTCATCTTTGTGAATTCAAATCTGACCTCAGACACTAGCTGTGTGACCCTGGGCAAGTCACTTCATTCTGTTTACCTCAGTTCCTCATCTGTAAAATGAGTTAGAGAATGACAAACCACTCCAGTATTCTTGCCAGAAAAACCCCAAAATGGAGTCACAAAGAGTTGGACACAACTGAAAAAGACTGAACAAACAAAATCTCTTTTCATAATCTATACTTAGGATGTTATTTTCTCTCCAACTACCATCATCTCCAACAATACACATAACTCCTCAGTCTCCATTATATTGCCTATATGTTTAAGCAGGAATTGAATTCTGATCAGCATCTGGCAAAAAAAGAGCACAGTGCTAAATACTGAGAAAGACACAGTCTTGTAGAGCTTTGTGCACAGTAAGTAAATATTTAATCAGCATGGTGTAGCAAAAAAAAAAATATGGTGGAATTGGTTTTATCATTCCTGCCAAAGAAATTAAATCCAACAAGCATCTATTGAGAGAGCCTATTACGTGTAAGGCACTGGTAATAACAAAGACAAAACCAAACCACTCTCTGTCCAGAGGATCTATTCTTGTAGATCCATGATCTACAAGAAGCCTAACTCCTATATAATGTGAATATTTTTTTCAAGAAGAGATTTGGAAGGTAATGGGTATGGTGAACAATAAAAAAAAAAAATCACAAAAAAATTGATTAGAATTTAGTACATAGTAAATGACTAGTCATCAATGTGGGAACCATTTCTTAATAAGCTATCTGTATAAAGACAAATCATTGACTTCTTAGATAAAAAATTAAAATAAATATCAAATTAGAAGAAAGAGTAAAAATGAGAAGTTATGTCAAGCAGTTGAGGCATCTTCAATTTGACCTCTTTAAATAAGATGTTGACACTGAAAAATGTGAAATGTGTGAAAACAAACATTCAGTATAACCTTTTGATTAATATCTAGTGAAGCATAAAACAGATGTCCCCCAAATTTTACACCTGTACTTATTTTGAATGGAATTCCTCTTTCTGACTTTTCCTGATTGTTTTTATTGGCACTAAAGAGGAACGCTGGTTATTTATGTGGATTTATTTTATATCCTGCAACTTTGTTAAAGTTATTGTTTCAATTAATTTTTAGCTGGCTCTTTAGGCTTTGCTAAGTAAATCATCATATCATCTGCAAAAATCAATTATTTCATTTGTTATTTACCTGTGCTTATTTGCTGAATTTCTCTTTTTTTTTTCTTGTTACCATGGGTAGAATTTCTAGGACTATGTTAAATAGTAGTGGAGATAATGGGCATCCTTCCTTTATCCCTTTGCTTATTGGAAAGGCCTCTAACATTCCTTCTTTACATTTGATATTTGCTCTTGGTTTTACTACATACTAAGGAAAGGTCCATTTATTCCTATGTTTTCTAGTGTTTTAATAGAAATGAGTGTTGAATTTTGTCAAAAGCTTTTTAAAGCATCTATTGATATAATTGCATGGATTTGATTATTTGTAATTAGTAATATGGTTTGTTACATTAATAATCTTTATTTTGAACCAACTCTGCATTCTTATCTTAAATACATCTTGTTCATCATGTATAATCTTTCTAATGTGTTGTTATAGCTTACTTGCTAATATTTTATTTAAACATTTTGTGTCCATATTCATCAGTGATATTGGTTTATACTTTTATTTCTTTGCTTTGTATCCCCCTGGTTTAGGTATTACATTTATATTCTGTTTATATGGCATTTGTATTCTGTCCTTTTTTTTCTTTTGTAATATTGTTATTTGAATTTTGATAGAATTCACTTGTAATTCCATCTGATCCTGTAACTTTTTCCTTTAGAAGTTCATTTATGATTTGTTCAATTTCTTTTTCTGAAATTAGGTTATTTAAGTCTATTCTTTTGTTACTTTCGTTATTTTATATTTTCAAATAATTAGTTCATTTTCTATAAGTTATCAGTTTGGCTAGCATGTATTTGAGTGAAGTAGTTTGATAATTTCCTTTATTTCTTCTTCAATTGTTGTGAAATCTTCCTTTCTGTTTTTTAACATGAATACTTTGGTTTTCCTTTCCCTTTTTTTATGAATCAAATTAGCTAATGGATTATCTATCTTATTAGTTAAAAAAAAAGCTCCTTGTTTTAGTTATCATTTCAATGCTCTTTTTTTTGCTTTAAGTTTTACTTCTTTTTTTATTTTCAGAATTTCTACTTTGTTATTGAATTGGGGATTTTTTACTTGCTAAATATTCTAATTCTTTTTAGTTCCATGCCCAATTTATTGTTCTGTTCTTTTCTTAATGAAAATATTTAGATATAAAAGTTTTCCTCTAAGAACTGCTTTAGGTGCATCCCATAAGTTTTTGTATATTGTCTCATAATTGTCATTTTCTTGAATGAAATTTCTATTTTTCTATAATTTCTTCTCTGACACACTAATTATGTAGAATTAAGATCACTCTGAATGTAGATGGAAGCATACTATTTGCTCTCCTTTTCCTTTGTTTTTCTGTTTTATTGCTTCATTCTTGTGGTTCCTCCCATTAGTTCTAGTTGTTCTTTACATCATGACTAATGGGAAAATATACTTAATATGAATATATAAGTAGAGCCTTGGAGAGGGGAGAGGAGAGGGAAGGAGAGAAAATTTAAAACTCAAAATCCTATGGAAGTAAATGTTGAAAACTAAAAATTAATTAATTTTTAAAAAAAGAATTAAGGTCACCAAATACTTTTTAATCTTTCCTTAAAGTCTCTTTCTTGAATCTAGTTATTACTGCATTGTAAGCAATAATATGTTTAGTATTTCTATTTTTCTATATTTTTAGTGGTTTTTATACCCTAATACACAATCAGTGTTTGTAAAGGTGCTATGAACAGTTGAGAAGTATGTAAATTATTTTCTTTTCCCACTCAGAAATCACCAGAGATCTATCATCTCTAATATTTCTAAGGTTCTAAATTTCTTTTTTGTTCACCTTGAGGTTAGATTTGTCTAAGTCTGAAAAGAGGTACACTGAGGTCCTTCACTTAAATAGTTTTACTATCTATTTCTCCTTCTAATTTGATCAACTTTTCCTTTATGTAGATGCTGTTATTTGGTATGTGTATGTTAAATATTGATATTGATTCATTTTCTCTGGTGTTTTTAGCATAATGTAGTTTCCCTGCTTATCCATACTTTTTATCATGTCTATGTTTAATATAACTTCATCTGAAATTGTAATTGCTGCCACTGCTTTTTTGAGTTCAGCTAAAGCATTATAAATTTTGTTCTAGTCCCTCATTTTAACTCTGTGAATCTTTACATATCGAGTGTGTTTCTTGTAAACTACATATTATTTGATTCTGTTTTCTAATACGTTCTTCTGTCTTCTTCTGTTTTATGCATGAGTCCCTGGATGGGATTCACAGTTATGATTGTAAATTGAGTATTTCTGTCCATCCTATCCTCTTGTACTTTTCCCCCTCTTTGCTCCTAACCTCTTTATAAATAAGATTTACAAATGTGTAAATTATTTTACAAATAAAAGGATGGTGAAAGAAAGTTTGCCTGACTTCTGTGATCTATAAATGCTATAGCTTATTCCCCTTCTGTTGCCCTTCTTCTGTTCTTCTTTCCCTGCCTTCGGTCCCAGGTTTTTATACTTTCGTCTTTTACTTTTAAGCCTTTCTTGACCATTCCTCTCTCAAATACTGGAGTTTGTTTGCAAAATAGGTCTAATAATGTTTATGCCCACCTACCTCACAGGGTGTCTGTGAGAAAATCATTTTGCCACTGTGAATTTGAGCTATTGAGCAAAGTGAAATTGAGCTATTTTTATGTGGATTGAGAAGATCAGAATATGGTTAATTTAGCTGTGATTCTTTAGCAATCACTGCTGTTTTTGGTTTCTTAAAAAGCAACTATGAAAATGAAAATATATTTTTTTTACCAAGTATTTTCCTTTTTCTTTTAAAAATATTGTTTATTTTTAAACATTTTTTTTAATTTTGAGTTCTAAATTCTCTCCCTCCCTCCAATCTTTCCCCCAAACAATGAGAAGGCCAGCAATATGATATCCATTCCAAATGTGAAATCATGCAAAACACATTTTTATATTAGCCAGAAAACACAAAATTTCAAAGCGCAAAAAGGGATTTGGTTTATCTTTTCCTGTTGCTGTCAATGAAGGCAGACTGTTCCTAAAGAAACATCATCATAATAAGTGTCCTCAAAGTCTTAAGTGGGAAAGAAGTTGTGATATATCCAAACACTGTGATGGAAGAGAGTTTGGCTCCCCAAAGCCTGGATTTTACCTGCTTTGTGCTTTAATGTTTAATTGAAAACAGGTTCTTCTTCTTCTAGCAGCATTTGATGTGGCTTAGATTTGAGGTGATCCAACATTCTGTCATTTAACAGCAACAGCAACAAATTCTTAACCAATTTATCTTTTTGAGTTCTCAGCTTCCAGTCTGGCATTGGGGTGGGAGATGAAATAGAGAGAGACAAGAAGAAGGGCAGGTCAGGAAGGGCAGGGTTTGACTGGCAGCTGAAAAGTGTCAAAATAAAGTACTTTCATCAATTCATATGTTCCATTACTGAATGCTTTGTAGGAGAAGCAAGGAAAGAGATCAAACCACAAATATTTTGTTGGTTTATTTATTTAGGCCATGAACTCATAATTCTCAGCTGCCAATAACAGGAGTCCCTAAAGACTGCTAAGCCTGATGGACAGCAAATAGATGGGCACAAAGCATGTATCATTTTCATTCCCCTGACTGAAGTTGAGTTTAAGTAAGATAACAGACTCAAGCAATACTAAGAAAACCAGAGATCTTCCTGAAACTTCTTGCCTTACAAAGGCCTCATTTTTTCCAAGGATGAGCTGGTTTGAAACAATTTCCCCTATGGATTGCACATAGACCAACTTTCCTTTTGACTCAGGTATGTCCCACCCTTTAGCCCTCTTACCAACAAGAACTGTGGACGTTAGAGGGAAACTCACTTTCCCAAAAGGGGGTGTTTCCATAGGGCCAGAGTTGGCATTCAAAAGGACCTTCCCAATCAGGAATCCAAAGCTTCCTTCTGCATGCCTGGTTTCCAAACTCATTTTCCCAAAGTGCTTCTTTGCCCCTTCCTTTCCATGTTCTTTGGAGAAGGGGAAGGAAATGTTGTTTGCAGGGTGTCCTATTCTGGATAAATATGCATACACACATGCACACACATATATACATACACTGTGTGTAACATATATGTCACACACACATATATAACTAACATATTTAACCAAGTTGGCATTCAAAAGGACCTTCCCAATCAGGAATCCAAAGCTTCCTTCTGCATGCCTGGTTTCCAAACTCATTTTCCCAAAGTGCTTCTTTGCCCCTTCCTTTCCATGTTCTTTGGAGAAGGGGAAGGAAATGTTGTTTGCAGGGTGTCCTATTCTGGATAAATATGCATACACATATGCACACACATATATACATACACTGTGTGTAACATATATGTCACACACACATATATAACTAACATATTTAACCAAGCTGGCTGATTGACGTTTCAAAATAATCTCTACTGAGATCTCTCCGAGGGAGATTTGTGACATTGTTGTTCAGTTGTTTCCATTGTGCCCAACCCCATTTAGGGTTTTCTTTGCAGAGATACTGGAGTGGTTTGCCATTTCCTTCTCCAGTTCATTTTACAGGTGAGGAAACTGAGACAAACAGGGTTAAGTGACTTGCCCAGGATCACACAGCTAGTGAGTGTCTGAGGCTAGATTTGAACTCAAGAAGATGAGTCTTCCTGTTTCCAGGCCTGCCTGTCTATCCACTGTGCCACTTAGCAGCTCTCTGATTCATGGCATAGAGGACTACTATGTATCCACCAAATTAAAAATAATCATAATCATAATCATAACAATAACAATAGCATTTAAGTAGCACTTTGCTTTACAAATGTTATCTCATTTTATCCTCACAATAACCCTGGGAGATAGGTACTATAATAACATCCATTTTGCAGTTGAAGAAACTGAGGCATCAGAGGCTAAGTGACTTGCCCAGGTTCACACAGCTAGGAAGTGACTGAAGCCAAATTTGAATTCAGGTCTTCCTCATGCTAGGTCCAGCTCTCTATCCACCACACCACCTCTAATGTGCAAAATGTGCCGTCACAGTCGCTTACATATTTTGTATCCTCCATACCTACTTCACACTGTATGCAATAATCTCATTCACCCAGAGGAGTCTCAAACATATGAATCTTAGTCTAAGGGAAAGGGAGAGATTTTAAATTATTGTCCCACAGTTCTTTCCTTCCTTCTCATCAATTGCTTCCACTCCTCCCTAGTGCCTTCTTCACCAACCTAGAAGAGTTAATTTCTTAGACAAACAGGGGAGGCAATGGCCCTCTTCCCAATCCCTATCAGCCATGTTAAAATCATAGTAGAGGAGGGTTTGGTTTGGAGGAAAGATTGTTGGATCTAAGGTTCAAATCCTGGCTTGGCCATTTACTAGTTCTGTGATTTTGGGGAAGTAATTTTACTTCCCTGTGACTTCATTATCAAGGATCAATGCCTCAGCAACCTTCTGTTGTTGTTCAGCCTTTTTAGTGGTGTCTGACTCTTTGTGATCCCATTTGGAGTTTTCTGGGCAAAGATACTGGAGTGGTTTGCCATTTCCTTCTCCAACTCATTTGAAGATGAGGAAACTGAAGCACACAGGGTTAAGTGACTTGCCCAGGGTCACACAGCAGTAAGTCCAGCACTCTATCCACTTCACCACCTACCTGCCCTTAGCAACTGTAATGACCTGAAAAGAGCATTGAATTTGGAGTCAGACCTGGGTTCAGACCCTAGCTTCATCATTTACCAACTCTGTCACCTTGGATAGGTTCACTGTACCTTTCTGGGCTTCAGTTTCTTAATCCATAAAATGAAGGGCCCCTCCCCTCCTCCAGGTCTATACCTTCCAACTCTAAGTCCTTTAATAATGGTTATTAATATTAACTATGACTAATAATTGATCATATCTTAAGGTTACTGTTTTTATTATTAACTTGAATTTATAGTTATGACATTTATCTCACCTACCACCAGTAGTACAGCATAATAGTTATCATTTACATAGCACCTCCTATGTGCCAGGCACTGTGCTAAGTGCTTCATAAACATTATCTCTTTCGATCCTCACAACAACTGTGGGAGGTGAGTGCTATGATTACCCCCATTTCATAAACGAGGAAATTGAGACAGAAAGATGTTAAGTGATTTGCTCAGGGTCACACAGCTAGTAAGTGTCCATGGTTACATTAGAACTCTGGTCTTTTTTACTCCAATCCCAGTGTTCTATCCATTGTACCACCTAGCTGCCCTGGAATACAGCCTGTCCTATTGGATAATAATAATAGCTCACATTTATATGTTACATGTGCCAGGCACTGTGCTAAGTGTTTTACAATTACTATCTCATGTGATCCTCACAACAGCCCTGGAAAGGAGATACCATTTATTAATTTCATTTTACAGATGAGTTAAGTGTCTAAGGATGGATATGAACTCAGGTCTTCTGGACTCCAGGCCCAGTGCTCCAGCCAGCTTCATAGCTGGCCCAGAACAGGGTACCTATTTTAGTCAGGAAGACCTTGGTTCAAGTTCTGCCTTTGACAAATATTGGTTACATGGGAAAGGCATAATTCAGCGGAAAGTTGGGTAGCCAATAAGCATTTACTAAGCGTTTACTATGTGTCAGACCCTGGGTTAAGCACTGGGGATCCAAATACAAGTAACAACAAAAAAAAGCTCTCAAGTAGCTTACTATTCAGGAAGACAATGCACCAAAGAGAATTGAAGATGGAGGGGGTACCCATACAGGGCATAGTGGTGGATTCTGGAGCTTCAGAAGGAGAGCCAGAGGAAGAAGCCTGGACCCACCAGCATTGGAGCCCCTGGAAGGAAGTCTCCCATGGGAGACAAAGGCTACAGAGAAGCAGGGCTGTTCCCAGGTGAGAAGGCAGCAAAATCAGAAGCAGAGCTGGGAGGGGAAAGAGTAATGGTTCTAGAGTCGGAGGCCCTGGGTTCAAGTACCAACTTTTGATGCTTACTTATGTAACCTTAGGCAAATCGCTTAATTTTCCTGGGCCTCAATTTCTCCATCTGTAAAATGACAGTGAAGTTCCTTCCAGCCCTAGCTATAATAGTTGTGTAGCCTGGGAAGACTTATAAATGGTAGAAGAGATGCAGATTTGTACAGGGAGGGGGAGTTTTCTCTATGGGAGGTCCCAATGCCAATGAAATCATAGATCCAGCAAAAAAAAAAAGCCATTTATGTAGTCTCTAAAGAGTTTTTCTCTCTCACGTTTTTCCTCTCCCTGCCTCTATACTATATTTCCGATCTGCTATGAATTTAATCCAGTTTTCCTCACCAGACTCACTGTTTCTCTTTTTTTTCTTTTTTCTTTTTATACCGGTTTCTGTTAATAGTCTCCTCCTATACCTAAGAGAAAAAAAGAATCGAGTTGTGAAACTGCCTGCTCCGGATTCCCCTGTTAGGTCTATACCGCACAGAGTTCAATGAAAGAGGAGAAGGACCACGTGTACAAAAATATTTATAGCTGCTCTTTTTGTGGTGGCAAAGAACTGGAAACTGAGGGGGAAGGGCATCAGTTGGGGAACTGGCTGAACTAATTATATATGAATGTATGTATATGAATTGTGCTTTTAAGAAATGAAGAAAGGGACGGTGTTGGAGAAACCTAGAACGACTCGTATGAACGGATGCAGAATCAAGTGAGCAGAACCAAGAGAACAATTTCTGTAGTAACAGCAGCATTGTAAGGACTACCATCTCTGAATGACTGGAGCAATGCGATGCCCACCGCGGACCAGAAGACGACGACGAAGGAATCCATCGTCCTACAGACAGCGAGGTGATCAGTCCCGGGTGCTGAATGGGACATACGCCCACATCCACGGGTCGGGGTCTGCTGTACTTGATTGCACATATGTATTACAGGGATTTTTCTTTTCCGATGGGAGGTGGGGAGAAGCGGAAGAGAGAGAGAGAAAATCAGTATCTGTTAAATGAAAATTTTTAAAGAAAGAAAGTCATGCCAGCTCCACCCGGAGGTGGCCCAACTGGTCAGGTAACGGCTTGGGACTAGGTTTCCTCCTTAAGCTCCTGAAGACAATGCTCGTTCTGTTCCTCCCCCTGCCTCCGGGCTGCTGGACGTCCCCCCCTTCCCTAGGCTGCAGGGGGGAGAAGCCCGACCCACCCTGCCAGCCTCGGTCTCTTCACCCTACGCCCCCCCACCACTCCGCCCCAGCCTAAAGGGTTTTCCCCCCTCCCTTTTTAAGAGGGAGGCAGATACCGGACAGACACCGCCCCCAACTCCTGTCCCACCCCTCGAACCCAGCTCCCGCCTCTCTCCCTCCCTCTCCCCCCAGCAGACTTCCTCCTCTCCCCTCCACTTGTCTCCAGCATCCCCCAACCTTTCCCCTCCCATGCCACCCCCTCCCCTGCTCATTTACATCCCGGAGCCGCTGGCCCAGCCCTGCCCCGCCCCGCCCGAGCCCGAACTAAAGCGACGTGTCCTTGTCCCCCGTGGGCAGCCCAAGCCGGCTGGCCCCGCGCACCTGTCCCGGCCGAGCACCTGTTCCAGCCCTAGGCCTCCGATCTGCAGGTAAAGGTGTGGGAGCTGGGGTCGCGAGCCGTCCCCTGGGGCTGGGACCACTAGCCTGGTGTAGGGGGTGGGGGGGGGAAGGGTTGGTCGCCCTTGCCCTCACACTTGGGGATGGGGGCATTGGAGAAGGGAAATGATGAGACTGGTGCTCTCTGACTTAGCAGTGGTTGACCCTGGCAGAGCACTTACAAAGGCTCCCACTTCCATGCGCCTGCCCATCGCTATGGGTCACGGAGGGAGAAGACAGGGTCCCCACTCGCCGGAAGCTGTCTGTGGGAGTTCATGCTTCTGAGCCGAGTCTCCAGGGATTTATTGTTTGGGGATGGGACGGCTGCGCGGGGTGGGGCAGAGTGGCACATCTTGACAGGTCTCTTGGTGGGGTCGGGAGGCTGGGGCCCGGAACTGCCTGTCCATCTGAGCCTTTGAATGTCTTGACTCCTCTCCCTTGTAACTTCTGCCCCCTAATGTCTAAAACCTTCCTGGCTACCCAGCTGCTGTCGTCAGAGCTACTGTTGCATTCTTCCTGAACTCCACTCTGTTTTTGTGGTCTTCGATTGGCATGTTTATGAGGAGCAGGGCTCAAAGGTGGGAAGGGGGCTCTTTGTATGTGCTTTCACGCGGGAACTCGGAGGAATGAGATGATGCGTCCATGAGGTTAGCAATCAGTGGACTTCAGAGATGTCAATTTCAAGGATGAATGTCCAGGGTTTAAAGAAAGTGAGACATGTATAACCTTCATCAGATTGCTTGCTGTCTTGGGGATTATGGGGAAGGAAGGGGGACTGAGGAGGGAAGTGAGGGAGGGAGAAAAATTTGGAACTGAAAATCTTACCCAAAAAATGAATGTTGAAAATTGTCATTACGTGTAATTGGAAAAAAATACAATTTACTTTTTTTTTTAAAGTGAGAAATCAGGGCATCTTGTCTTGGAGAGGGCAAAAGGGTGAAAGTCACACAGAATCAAAAAAGGTCCTATAAAAGGAGACAAAGGTACTTGTGGGGGGCCTCACCGATCTCATTGAATAAATCTGAAAAAGTTCCATAATCAATCAATATACACGTATTAAGCACTTACTATGTGTAGGCACTGTGCCTACACTTAAGACAAAGAAAAAGCAGTTAACAGTCATTGTGGGAGACAACATATTAACACAATCACAATAAATACAAAGTAGATAGAAGATACTTCAAAGAAAAGGCATTAAAAACGAAAGAGATCAGGTATGGCTTCTCTGTGTCTTTCTAATGGCGTCGAGCCCTCTTTGACAAGTGTGGTCATTCAGTCCAACGCTGTGAACCGTCTGTGTCTTATTGTTAACAACCCATTCATGACTGGTGCCCAAAGATTTTTAAAAAGCCTTTTTATTTTTAGGAGGAAAAAAAAAATTGGAGATAAGCCTGGGTTGCCATTTCCCATCTTCTGCTGAAATATGAAGACCAAAAACAAACCCACAAAACGCAGGCTTTTGGCGGACAAAGAGACATTTCATGGCGAGCCAACATCCAATAAGCAGGACCTGGAGAAATGTTTGAGGAACAGGGACAGGCGGAAGGGGGAGAAGGCTGAGGGCAGCAAGGTGGCCACCGCCAAGAAGAAGTCCTCCTCGGGCAGCCGGGAAAGCACTCTGAGGCGGCTGGAGAGTAACGAGAGGGAGAGGCAGAGGATGCACAAACTTAACAATGCCTTCCAGGCCTTGCGAGAAGTCATTCCCCACGTCAGGGCGGAGAAGAAACTCTCCAAAATTGAGACCCTCACTCTGGCCAAAAACTATATCAAATGTCTGACCTCCACCATCCTCAACATGTCCAACGGTTGTCTCCCTGCCCTGGAAGGGGAAGGATCTGCTCACAACTCTAAATTCTACCAGCACTATCAGCAGCAGCGAGGAGACGAGGAAAGTGAAGACCACCTCAAGAAATATTCTACCCAGATCCACAGTTTTCGGGAAGGGAGCTAGAGGGACCCTCTGGACCAACATCGTGACATCTTCAGGCAAGGAGTAATGGACTCCGAAAAGGCGTCACTGGGCCATCACCCTATTTTTATTGTCTGTTACGTTTTGGCCAATATCTCCAATTGTCATGCGCGGACTACTGGGCGATTTTTTTTTTCCCATACAGAAATGGTAAAAACGGTTCATCTTCCTTCTAAAAAATAGCCAATTACTGAGAAAAACTTGAACTTGACAGCCCCTTGCTCAATCACAGTCCCCAGAGGGCATTTTCCACCCCTTAGCCTCAGGCTCAGTGTGACTCTCACTCCCCTTTGTCTCTAGACGCCTTGGGTATCCTCAGACAGGTGCCCAAGGCCTGATTCTTGTATCATCCATGTGAAACATGCCCTGAGGGGTAGGAAATGGAAACAGTTGGCTCAGCCCAAGCTTGTAGCGACCCGGGGTGGTGCATTATTCCCATAAACATTTTGACCTTTGTTACTGAAACATTTCTGGCCCTCTCTAGTGTGACAGATAGTCTTCTAAGAGATTATTTTTTGTATATATCACCAACAGAAGTTGAAGCCTCAGTCTTTTTTTTTTTGCAATGAATCCCACTTTTTTTGGGGGGGGTCAGGAACTGTGATTTATTTGATTTATGTAGGGAACTCCATTAATGCAAATGGCAATTCTATAATTCAGTACCTTATAGTGTTAGTGACTTGACCACAGTCACACAGTCAGCATACGTCATAAATGAGAAGTGAACCCATCTTCCTGACTCCAAGGCCAAACCTCAATGCCCTGTTGCCAACTTCAATCAAATATCATCCTATGATTATTAGCGTGTTATAGTATTTGAGTGCCGGAAGGGACTTTCACAATTATTTAATTCAATTCTCTCCTTTTGCAGGTAAGGAAACTGGAGGCTTAGACCAGTAAAGGGCTCACCTATTGAGAGTGTAGCAGGGTGGGGTTAGAGTTAGTTTTTTGCTTCTAGCTGATCAGGGATGGAACAGAAAACCTCTAAAACTCCAGAGCAGGAGCTCTTAACCATTTTAATGTTCCCAGACCCCATTGGCAGTCTGGTGACACCCATGAGAACCCCTTCTCTGAATAATGTTTTTAAATAATTGAAGGAAATGCTAAATTTTGGTTAGAAAGTAGGGAAAATAAAGCTTTTTTTTTTCCAATCCAAGTTCACAGACCTCCCTGAAATCTATCTAACGGCCCCTTCGAGGGCTTTGAATGCCAGGTTAAATAATCTTGTTCCAAAGGGAGTTTTTCGAGGAAGGCAGGATTTATATCTTTTTTCTCCCCTTTTGGTTTTCTAAAAGACTGTCTCTTGGAAAAAGAAAGATGCAACCAAATCCTGCAAGTTTGTGAAACACACTGTTGGTGAGATCTGTGCTGAAATTCTTGCAATTCACTAATCTAGACACAAAAATCATGGGACAGTGCCTTGGAAAGGACTTTTTGTACTTGGTACAAAAAGCACACTTTATGCAGGGTTGGTGAGAAAATCCTCTAGGTCCTGGGCACTAGGCCACTCTAAGTATTAGTATACAGACTTTAAATGTTTTAAGGTTTCTCCTTCATGTGTATCCGTCCATGCAGAAGAAAAATCTGTTGCTTTTCTTCATGCAGAAATGCTGGCTTTCCCTTGTAGTCAGATTGTCCTGTTCTTCCAAGGGCTCAGAGTTTTGCCAAGCTCCATTCTACTCCCTTTTCTGGTTGGGATGAACTCTACCAACAATTCTTCGAATAGTTGTTTATGTATTGTGTATTGTTGTTCCAGGTGAGGGATGATGGGGGAAACTGCACACTTCCCTTATCTGCAGCTGCACACTTCCCTTGGCACCCCTCGTCCCCAGATGGGTATCAAGTTGGGTAGTCAGGTAAGAGGGGACATGGTCTTTTTATTCATTTGACTCCAGTAGGGTCTTGGTGGGCTGCTCTGCCACTGAGAACCAGACCATACAAACAAGGACCATTCAATTCCTTAGATACATTTCCTTGTGTTTCATAGAACAGGGAGGTGGAGACAGGAGGGGTGGCACAGGGGTGCTTTTGCCTAATGAAAACAATAGTATTTCTTGCACAGGAGAGAATAATGTAAGAGTGTGTTTTCTGCTTGGCACACAGTAGACTCCATAAATACTACATTCTTGGTATGATTCTCTTTGGAAGGCTAGAGGAAGATCTTCAGGAGAATTCAGGAGAATTGTAAAGCTTATGCGAGCCTATAGCGTTCCTGAGCAGGAGGGAAGCTGATAAATGTTAAAATGTTATTTAATTGTATTATACTATAATTATGTAATATTACATGTGATCACTGAGAGCTCTATGCAATCATCTGGGAAATGTGCTGGGACTTTCTTGCAGATTACTGGTTAAGGTTGGAAACTTAAAACACAACTCTAGATCTGTTTTTTGGGGGGCAGCTAGGTGGTGAAGTGGATAAGGCACCAAGCCTGGAGTCAGAAAGACCTGGATTCAAATCTGGCTTCAGACATTTACTAGCTGTGTGACCCTGGACAAGTCACTTAACCTTGTTTGCCTCAGTTTCCTCATCTGTCAAATGAGCTGGAGAAGGAAATGGCAAACCACTCCAGTATCTGTGCCAAGAAAATTCCAACCAGAGCCACCAAGTCTTATATGAGTGAAACAACTAAACAACAAAAGATTTACCTTATGATGCTGTGATTAAGAGTGGAATGTTTTTAGTAGGGGGCTAGAAACAGGATGTATGGGGTGAGCGTCCCACACACATCTTTCTAGTCCCCTACTAAAAAGCATTGTTTTCAGTCCCTTGATGACAGAAACTAATAGCTACTTGACCATGAGCAAATCACAACCTCTTAGTCTCAGACAACTCTCTCTCCAAGACAGTTATAGACAGAGCTACCTCCCACATCACTCTTCAAATCACAGGTCCTGGATGTATTGACTCATTTTTAAGAAACTCTCTGTTTTGTCTAGTGCCAAATTATGCCCTGTTTGAACACTCAGTAGGTATTTTGTTACTATTTCTAGTCAACATTCTACTTATCTATCAGACAATCCTTTATGATTTTCCTTTCTTCCCACTGGTCTGTCCTTTGAGGCAAAACTTAACAAAATGAATGCGGCTTAAGAGTCTAGGGAGCTAGGTTCAAGTGTTGCCTCAGATGCACAGAGAGCTGCGTGACCTCGGGCTAAGTTATAGCCTCTCTGAATCTCTGTTGGCCTGGAGTAAAAGAACAGCTCACACTTATATGGCCCTCGGAGATTTTCAAAGAACCTTCCTCACAACAACTCCATGAGGTAGTTACTTAGGCAATGATTATTGAACCTCTCTTTCAAATGAGGAAACTCAGGCCCAGAGAAGTTCAATGATTTGCCTCTGATCACACAGTTAACATTTGAAGCAGGATTCAAACCCTGGTCTCCTGATCTCAAGACTAGCACTCTGGGGGCAATAATACTTCCACTTCCTACCTCATGGGGTTATTGTAAAGAAAGCCCTTTAGAGAAAGAAGTTATTTTAGAAATCATAGAGTCCAATAACCTCATTTTGCAGAAGAGGAAACTGAGGCCCAGAGAGATTGACTTGCCCAAGATGAATATGTTACTTTATAGACAGAATCTCAACTAAAAAGTCTTCAAAAAACACACAGATATTTCTTCACTTATATATTTTAGAGAGAGAAAAGGGCCTTAACTCTCAGCACATCTTTCTTCTTTTTAATTTCCTAAATACACCCCCCCACACACACACATACACAGTGTCCCAAAAGTCTTACTGCAGTTCCTGCACTAAGGGTTGTTATATATATTTTACATCAGGGTGAATTAATCCATCCTCTGATCAGTGAATATTTATTAAGTGTCTGCTAGGCCCCGGTGATAAATATATAAAGAATGAAACCCTTTTTGCAATTAATTTACATTCTGAGAGGGATGATAACAAGGACATACACAAGTGTATGCAGAATAAAAATAAAGGGTAGTTTGGGAGGAAGGGCACAAAGAGTTAGAAGAGTCAGGAAAGACTTCATGTAGACAATGATGCTTAAACTGTATTCTGAAGAACTAATTCTTGGTGGGGAGTGGGGACTGCATTCCAGGCACGAAGAACAGCCCTTTTTGACCAGTGCAAAGTTGAAGAGACAGAAGATGGAGTGTCATGTGTGAGGAATTTAGAGAAAAGGTCAGGCTTGTTTGGAGGGGCATGAATGTACAGTGAGATCAGAGAGACGGGTTGGAGCAAGGTTGGGAAGGGTTTCAAAAGCTTATATTTTAATCTACAGGCAATAGAAAGCTAGTGAAGTTTGTGGGTAGGTGAGTAAGTATCCACACTTGAAGGAGGCTAGGAGTCTTGACACTTGTGACTGACCAGGAGAATTCTGATTTCTTGTCTGAGTGCTTAGTTGTATTATATGTTAATATATTTTCCACAAACTGCAAAAAATTATTTTTAAAGAGCTTTGAGAAAAACGGGACACGATTTGCTCAAAACATTCATCTCTTCCACTCCATTCCCCCCTTTTACAAAGTCCTTCAGGATAGAAGCTCTGGGATCTTTCTGTGCTGGACTACTACTTTTGACACAATTTCAAGTACTGTTTACACAAATAGGCAAATGATGGTGGAATGAGTCAGTCTCGCTGCTGCTCTGGAGTCCGTGTCTGTTGGGACACGGTTTCCAAGAGGGAAGATTTCCTTAGGGTGTCACAGTCAATCTTTCCAAACTCACCTTGCAGGGCTGGGCACAGGAGGCAAAGGCAGCTGCTTGTTGTTCTAACTCGCTTTTTTGGACTTAGGCAATTCTTAGGGCAAATAGAGGCATTATGAAATATCAAAGGGTTTGGCAAATGGCCCTGTTTACATAAAAAGGGCATGACACAGCAGGGTCCGGTACCCCAAGGTACAGATAATGACTTTGAGTTTGAGTCTCCACTTTGCTGATCAAATACTGGTCACAGGAACTTGCTGTAACAGTCCTCATATCTCTTACAAAGCCAAACGTGGAGGTGCAATCTGTGGGCATTTCAGATATTCCCATAATAATGCTGCTTAGTCAAACAGACGCAGGATGATCTGGGGTAGTTTAGGAGATAGGGTTTTAGTCCCAGTTTTACTGTTTTTACTGTATATGATACAGGTAGACCTATCTATACATATATATGAACCAAACCTATCATTTTATCGATACAGGGAACTCCTAGTGAGGAACTTCCCTCCACCAACGCTGCCCAGCACCTGCCCAGCAACTGAGTTGCCTGGGGCATTGAGAAATTAAATGACTCACCTAAGATCTCACAATTATTTTATAAGAGCACAGATTTAGAGCTAAAGTGATTCTCATTTCACAGATGAGGAAACTGAGGTTCACAGAGGCTGTCACATAGCTAATAAGGTGAATTCGGATCTCAATCTAGGTCTTCCTGACACCAACACTATCCATGGAGCCACACTATATATGAGGGAAGAGAATTTACCTTTTTCTCCCTAGTTGCTCGTCTTTCAAATGGGAATAATACTTGTTCTACCTACTTCCCAGGGTGATTGTAAGGCCCAAGGGAGTTAGAGTGGATGTGAAAGCACTTTGAAAATCATTAAGCATGTTATACAAAAGTAAGGTAGCTAATGGAGTTCTCTGTCCTCATAGAAACAAAGGGGCGTCACAGAGTTCCTTTTCTTGTCCAAGTGTTTTGAATTTCAGTAGGTGGGCCTTGGGTGAAAGGCAAGATTGCCCCCTGATGTACAAGGTTTTCTTCCTTTGCATCTTATGTGTGGTTTATTCAAGTTACACTCTAAATCCAATTCTTAGTTTCCACGTAAATGCAAATCTGCTGTTGTGTGTGTCCAGTCAGATTTTGTCTCATGCTATGAATGGGATGAAAAAGGAAGATCTAATTGGGACCTTAAAACGAGCAGGCCTTTAAGGGAGCTCTTCGGACTGTCAGGTTGCTTTTTGAAAATGTATGTGGATGGGTGAGCATGCCAGTTCAAGATTTTGTGCAGCCAGTTCTGGAAAGGGTTGGACTGCCCAGAGTGAACTTGTCTGCTGGTCAGTGGGACCACCTCGTTCTGCCTGCCAAAGACACCCTCCAAGGTGGGTGCTGCCACTATACCGGACTTTGAAAGAAGACATGTTTCCAGCACAAGAACTCTGAAAGCCAACACTGCTGTGAAGC